CGCAAGCATTGCAGCCGATCTGTTCGACTTTCTTCCCGCCCTGGATCGGGTCGTCTTCGCTGAGGCAATTGTCCGGGTTCGTGTCGTCGGCGGTTTCGATGACGAGGAGATCTTTGGCTGACACCTGGGTCGCCACTTCCGTGCGACCATCCCTGAGGATCGGCGAGTTCTTGAACACATGATCTCTGGCAGCCACCTTGGAGATCGCACCCTCAAGGATGCGGCCTCTGTAGTTGAGTGGCCGCAAGTTGTCTCGGGCATCCACCTGCAAATCAATAGGTTGGGGCACTCTAACTCGCAATCACAAAAGCCGCTGCGACTTTCTTGATATCTGCTTCTAGGCATAGATTTTCCCGCCTTCTCCTTGAACATGAGAATGAAGCTCCTGTCGAGGGACATGCCTGCTGCAGCGAGGTCTTTCATAGCAAAATTCTCCAACATCCAAAGCTGATTCTTCTTGTAGGTGAACTCCGGCTGCAGCAACAGACCGATGCTCTTGTCGGAGCATGCAAGCACATGCTGCGAGGCTGCAATCTGGGCCGACCTGGCCCCCTTCTTGATGGTGCACGGTGCACTCCAGTTCAGAAAGACCGTGCTGGCCTCAGCGACTTGTTCTAAGACTTTGTTCTCGATTTAGAAGTCAGTAAGACCGAGACATTTAAATTGAAACAACTCCTTGCAGCAATGCACCGACGAGTTGAGATCCAGGGCATGCTTCTCCAATGTGTGTTTCTGGAAATTCTGCATACCGTGAATCAAAGTCTCCGGCTTGTTGTAGTGAATGATGCTACAGCATTGGTCCATGAAGTTCTTGGCATGCTTGGCAGACTCCTGGTAGCGAGCCACCCTGAACTCCAGCTTGGCATGGTACACCTGGCTCTCCCATGTCGCCCTTTTGGCTTTCGCCACTCTCAAGCACTGCAGGTCGTACTGCAGCTGCTTCAGCTTCAAGTCGAAGGTCTCTTGCTCAAGCTGAGCCATCTGTGTGGCAGGCCCGCCCGACACGACCGGCACATTCTCTGCATGATGGCTCATGATGGCATTTATGGTGCCCAAGTCACGGCACGTAGCACACCCTCGCTGAAGAATGGCACTCTGAACCTCCAGCAGCACCCCCGAATCGCCGCTAATGTATTTGTTAGTCCATTCTTCCTGGAGCAAAGTGTCGGAAATCGGTAGGAGGGCCTTCACCTCGCGAACGATCGTTGTCACGAAAGCTGCCTCCTCGGCTATAGCTTCCGTTTGATGGCGATCCATTTTTCGCCGCAAGGCTTCCGGCAGAGCCCTTGACAGACTGATCTGCCGGAGCACCTGGCACTGGGCACGGGGGCTCAGAGAGAAATTCTTGTCTTCTGCCACATGCTTCCGAGTTGCCATGACACGGTTGCTCTCCTTGCTGACCTTTCCCCGGGCTTGCCACACAGGCCCGGCTTGCGACTTGAACCTCGTCAAGGCCAGCTTGCAGAACAACCCGTGTGCTTTGGAAGTTTCTATTTAGCGAAATTGCAGCCAATACACTGGAATCCTGGCAATGTCTTCTTCGAGCTTAGGCTGTCGTCTGACCACGGGGTGTGTTCGTGGCCCACTTCCACTGTGTAGTCCACGATGGCATCCACTGCCGAGGGGTCGAAGAGCTCCATGATATTCTTCACGGCTGTTGCTTTGCTCGCCAGCAACTGGCCAGCTTTGGAGTTGCGGTTGTTGTTCTCGCGGATCTAAGTTGACACAGACAAGAACCTCTCGCGAATCAGAACTGAAACAGCCGATACGGACGGGGTTGCAGGCAAGGGGCCAGCTCTTGAACGTCCAGGGTTGGCTCGTGAACCCGCAACTTCTGGATGGTGGTGACCCAGGTACTCAGCATAATCGGGCCACAGCAGCAAACGACAGAACAGACAGTGTGACATGAATGGATGCTGACTGCCGTGCTGACGAGGCTCATGATGTTCGGAGCCTTTCTGATGCTCCCTCTCACACTCAACTTGAAGTTGCCAAGCATCTGCTCACGTTTCGAAGCTGCCGCGATAACATGACCATGCATGCACCTCAAGGTTTCGAGGAGCTTCGGATGGACATCGTGGTAGTTGTCCATTGACGAGTCTCTGGCCATGGACAGCAGAGCCATCAAGGTCATGACTCGTGTCTTTCCCTTGTAGTACCCAACGGAAAACGGCCGAAGGATCGGTCGGCCCACACCCGCTGTCCACGGAATGCCAAGTTTCTCCTCGACAGGAGCGGTGCTTCAAGTACGTAGGGTACTTCATGCTGACTCGGTGCAAGACAAGTCGCCTCGTCCAGGCTTTCCACAGCCAGGTCAGACAACAGAAGCAGGATTGGGTCGCCAGCCGTCACAAACCCGTCTTTCAGGATCTCCTGGAAGATGAGCCGCACAGTGTCATTCTCCGAGGGGCCTTTGATGCTAGACTCTTTGGCATAGCTGAAGCATGCCAGGTGGAAGATCTTGGGAACCACCTGCACGGAAACAGTCAGTCAGCAAAACCGGGTCTGTGCCAGTGTCACTGCATTCTACATACTTATCATGGAGTCGCTAGCCTGCCTGACCCAGTCCGTCCATGCTAACCCCGCCCGTCTCAGCATCAAACTCGAAGTGGTTGCAATCCGTGGGGACGAGGTGCACCAGGTACTCCAGCCACTCGACATAGTCGGCACGACCCTGAAACCTGGCTCTAAGATAACTCTCCGGCCCGCCGTAGCGAGTGTTCATCTGCACCATAGCCTCAGTCATCCTCTCGCACCACGTGTCGTGAAGCACATCCCCTGCTGGCTCCAGCCCTTCGAGAAAGGACTTTGTGTTCTCACTCGCAGCCGACTCAGACATGGCCCTGGCCTTATGTGCTTTCACAAAGCCACAGATCACTCCTCACACAAGCCCAAAGGCTGCAAGCTGTTGTCTGTAACTCCGAACCCAAGACGAATCAAGACGAAGCAACAACAGAACATTTCAAAAGATCTCCGACACTTCCTCGCTCCAAAAATACAAAAGTTCGAGCAGCACAAGAATTCAAAAGATCTCCGACACTCCCAGGGACCAAAAAATACAAAAGTTGGTCAGGGCAGAATTCGCGATATAAAAAAAACAAAAGTTCGATTTCCAAGCATCTCTAGTATCAAAGCTGGACCCCCCACGAACTTTTGTAAAAAAAATTTTTCAAAAGTTCGTCCCAGGAGACAACCAATTTCAAAGCAATTCAGGGGTTGCGATCCGGACCCCCCAATTGCTTTGAAATCGGTTGTCGCCCAGGACGATCCTTTGAAAAAATTTTTTTACAAAAGTTCGTAATGGTGTGGGATGCACCCCCCCAATTGCTTAGTTTTGAAACTGCTCCCGTTATTTATATCGCGACTTGGAGCCCGGAATTGCTTAGAATTTCGGTGCAGTTGGTATTTATATCGCGAATCGAAATCCGGAGATGCTTTGAATTGTCCAGACCATGGCCAGCAAAAGCCATTCACGATTTGCAGAGACAACAGACACATAGTAGCCTGCTTCAGGGCTTTCGGCATGTTCGGCAATAGAAACACTCAGTCATCACTCAGAGCAGCATGGCATGAACTGCTGACCCCTCGCACAAGGCCAAACCCCACGAGCTCTTGAGGCTGCACATGAAAGAGAGTTCTCGTATGTACGGCACAGCAAGAGCAAGGCCTCTGCAGCCCAATGCTTGGAGGCCTGAACAGACAACATCGCAGCAAACAATGCTATGCACACGTGCAGCAGCAACCATCAACGAACTCGCATCAAGTGCTGAAAGGAAGTTCCCCCATGCACGATAAAGCAAGTAAAAGCCGGGCCTAGCTCTGTAAAGCAATGCTTGGAGGCCTGAACAGACAACATCGCGGCAAACTATGCTATGCACACGTGCAGCTGCAACCATCAACGAATTGTCGCTGCAAACCAAGTCTTGCTTCAGCTTCGCACAAAAGAGCGGTGTACATTGCAGAGATTTCTTAGTTTTCGCTCGGTTCTAGCTTCAATGCATTGAGCCCACCTACTGCTGAAAGCGTTGCAACATTGAGGCCCTGGAGCTAGGCTGGAGTCGCAGTAGAAACACTAGTTCTGTCCTGCACTTGATTCGGTGTTTCTAAGAGACCAAGCATGCCAAGCACTTTCGCGAATCCGGCGGAACGATAAAACCTCGCACATGGACTTGAACTGCCGATTGTGGATCTGGGAGGTTCGTGCAAAGCTGCATTGGAGGTTGCAAGATAAGGACATCGGGTCAAACTTGGACTGCTTCTTTGAAGCTCTCTGTGAGTGTTTCATTGAGGGCTACAGCAGGAGCAAGGTCGGAAGACGTGATCGGATCCTGCTAGAGGATAGGATACGTTGCTTGACTTCCCCGCGGTGTTCGGGCCCTACAACCCGAAACTATGCTATGCACACAAGCAGCTGCAAGCAGCAACGAACTCGCATGAAAAGCCCACATCAAGTTCTCGCTTGCACCAAAATTCAAGAGCCGGGCCTGCCTCTGCAGAGCAATGCTTGGAGGCCTGAACAGACAACATCGCAGCAAACTATGCTATGCACACGTGCAGCTGCAACCATCAACGAATTGTCGCTGCAAACCAAGTCTTGCTTCTGCTCTTAGCCGAAAGAAAACAGGATCGGGTTGGCCAAACCGCAAAGTTTAAAGACCCCTGCCTCTGCCTGGGGGTGACAGGGAATATTCAAGGGCGCTTTCTCTTTTCGGTGCTTGCTCGCTCGCATGTCAATGCCTCGGAGGCCAGCTGCCAAATGCCAGTCATCAAGAGTCTCCCTCCAGAAGAGTCTCACTGAAAACCTGTCTCAGTCCGCCGTGAAAAGCATTCCCTTTGATCCTACTGGCATGTTGTCACAACACGGTTTCGGCTGTCGGAGACAGGCACCAGTGCCCGTAAGACCCACTAAGACGAACGTGGCAAAGGAAGCACCAGCCAAAATCCAGGGCAAAACATGACTGTGCAACAAAGCTCTAGGCGACAATGGGCTGTTAAAACTCTCACGTTTGCTCACACTTCACCCTGCTGCCGCTGCCATGCTTCGAATCGAGGTCTGCATCGACCACAACCTGTAGCACTGTGCCGGCACTTGGAGCAACCAAGCTGTTGCTGAACTTGCGGTCGCGGTCCAGGGCGAGCCTCGGATAGGTGCCAGCAGTCATTAGCAAATTCACATCCTGGCCCATGGAACGACACAAAGCAGCAAAGTTCACAAATACCAAGGTACATTTAGAAGAAAAAACTTTCAACGACGAGGGACACTTGCCGCCTTAGCCTTCGCCTTCGCTTTGGCCTTGGGGACACGTGCCGAAGCTTTGGCCGTCGCTTTGGCAGTTGCCTTTGCAGCTGCCTTCGGGACGGCTGGGCTCGGAGATCCTTGAGCTGCCTGTGACCCTGCATCCGCCACCGGTGCATCCGCCGGCACCGGTGCATCCGCCGGCACGGGTGCGGAGTTCGCAGAACCAGTGGGGGCCTGTGCTGCCGAGCAATCGCCCCTCTTCCTCTTGAGCTTCTTGCCACCACCAGGAGGGGCTCCGACGATGTTGACAGGCTTCGGCGGCGAGGGGGCGAAGTTCAGAAAGTCATCGGGCTGCTCTCGCACCCATGTTTTCGGAACGAAGCTGCACATCTGAGGCGGCTCGCCGTCGCCGTTTCCCACCGTTTGATTGCGATCGCACCAGCTTCGCAAGTAAGTATCGAGCTGCCTTGTCGTACGACCATGGCGGTCTCTCCAATGCACTCGCCGTCTTTCGATACTCGCTCAGCAACTTATCCGACAAAGGATTTCGATCGGCGAAAGAAGTGGGCCCTGTCAGCGGCAAGGCTGCCGAAGCAGGGAGTGCCACAAGCGCCTGAGTCAGGTGCTTATCTGACATGAACTGCTTCACCAGGAGCACGACATCGGAGGGCGACTGCTTCTCCTGATGGACATGGGAAATGTAAAACTGTAGAGTCTAGAGATAAGCAAGATATCATCAAAGTTTGCTACGACGAGAAGTCCTCCTCCGTGTGAATCTCATCCAATCTCCAGGTGTCCTCGAGTCTGAATGTTGGAATATGAAACATGAGGATTTCATCAGCTAGAGCTTGGCCTCTGAACCCTACAGCATCTCTTCATCTTGTTGCTGGGGCATGGAAACACGAAGAATTCATCTGACCTAACCTCGAAAACGATGCAAGGCCCGCCTATGAAGTGAATATGCTGCCTAGTAGCAAAGCCCTTGTACTGCTTCACGTCGCTTCGTTGAAGGAATCTGAAGCCATGGGAAACCGACTCCTCCTGCTCTGTGATGACGAGGCCAGTGTATTTCACCGGCATCGGCTCCAGAAACTTTTTCCAATCCCAGGTCTGCATCAGGATCTCCGCATGGATCTCCCGTGAGCCTGGAGGCTGAATCTCCAACAGGCAATCACGGAACTCCTGCCGGGTCGGTGTTAACAGCTGAAACACATAATCGGCCCTTCGCACAGCATGCACATGACCGCTTGCATGCCGAATGCACGAGTCCTCCAATGTCTGGAGATTCTCCTTTCGAGCCAAGTGACTCCCGCAGACGGAGAATCGCTGGTCCAACTCGCAATGTGTATGACCGACTCGGTAGTAGAGAAGGTCCACCGTGCGGTAAATGGAATGACTGGTCAGCCAGGATGCAAACTTGAAAGTGATGCTGTTTCGATTCTCTCTGCAGGTGTTGTCGCACTGTAATGTGAAGTGCGAGGGCATCTGCAGCCCTCTTCGCTTGAGGACTTCCTCCGCGATCTGGAGGGCTCTGCCTAGGTCACATGTCACCCAATCGTTCGTGGCTAAAGAGAGAGAGAAATCACAAGGCGTCTATGTGATGTCAAGAATGAGCACACCTGTGCTGTTCCTCGGTGCCATACAAACACAGGTCAATGTGGTCGAAGTATCTTTCTTGACATCAGCTTCAGTCAAGAAATAGATTTCCGCCACGCCAGGAATCAGGGCCCCGATCATATGGAGGGCCGGGCGGTACACGTGGGCGAACTCTTTGGAGTTCGTCGATGCCATTCTTGGCAGCTTGAACTTCGCCTGGGATCATGGGTCTGCAAACAAAAGGCAAAGCACTCACCGTCTCGCATCATAACTCACAAAGGTTTGCATGCTAAGTGACCTGATCCATGCCATCTACCTGAAGATAGAGGATCCCAGTCATGGGATCTGGGTTCAGGGACGGCTCTGAGGAGCACTCGCAGCTGACCATGAGACGTCTGCCCAATGCCCTGTCAGCGAAGACCCCGATCAAGTGCTCCCGCTTGGCATTTTGGGTAGCGACCTTCTCCTCCTCTGTCTTTGCAAGTTCTCGCCACTTGGATAGCCGGGAGCCTCGAGTCTCGATGCTGCTAAAATCAATCTAGACGGAGCAACATGACGACCCACTGCAGTGAATCATGGACTTGCATGGACACAAGACCAAATTGAGCACAGAAGCAAGTGACACACCGTGAGTGTTGCCCCTGGGCTCGGATCTTCAAGCAGCAGGTCCATCGTTTCCACTCCTGCCTGAAGATGCTGTCAGAGACTGGCTCGGTACCGTCGCTGCACGTCTGCTTGTGAAGGTCGTAAAGCTCGGCAATGGTTGTCGGGTGTATCCACCTCCGAAATCAGCCCAATCGTTCACAGGCAAATTTATGAATGAACCACAACAAGGATTGAGACTGAAGCTAGCCTTGCCTGATTTCCTTCTGCTTGTTGCCCACAACTGCACTGCCCACCGGTCCAACCGCAGAGTCCTGCATGATGGGGAGCTCAGCATCATCCTCGTCGTCGTGGGCTGTAGCCTCATCCCGGCACCTGGGCCACAAGCATAAAGATGCCTAGAGAACGAGGCTCTGCAGCCCCAACCTTCGCTACCATTATGATTGACAAATGGTTTCTGGCAGCGACTTAACCTCGGCCAACGGCTCCCCCAGGTTATCATAGACCCATTGGAAAAAGGCAGCAGCTCTGGTAGCCGCCGGCCGCTCTCTCAGCTGCCTTTCCTTTCGTCCGTCTACGGGAGGGTCGCGATGGCCTTGCTTCACGGCAGACCTAGGTTGCTGTGAAAATGAAACGATAGAGCTCGCGACATAAGGACAAGTTGTCAAGCATATGTCTGCAAGCAAAGACGAGTGGCATCATCTTCTGGATGAGTGGTGCAGACACTCCCACCAAACTCTTGAATGCACCGAAGCAGACAGGAACTCCTAGCAACTGCCACTTGACCGGCTGCTCGGAGTCGTTGCCGCCCTCCTACATCGCAAGCTTGGTTTCTTTGATTGTGAGTGAGCCTAGTAGCAGCGAGCTATTCTTGCATACATGAGTTGTTCTCTCTCACCATGACAGAGGCTCCTGGAAGACCTTCTTCAGTAGATCGAACAGCATAACTTGCCGGTCATTGTCTGGCAAAGCATCCAGCTCCGACTTGAAAAGTGCATGTCGTACTGAGAGATCTCGGCGCCGAAAAACTGTCATGCAGTTCTTCTTGCAGCAGGCTGCCGCTATCGCCATCCCATCGTCCGACGACGGCAACTCCTCCGGGGACCCCAAATCCTCTGGCTGGGAGTCCAAGTCAGGGGGCAGCTGTTCGTCCACATTGGCCTAGGTGTTGCTTTGATTGATGCCATGGCACAACATAGGATCGTGACTCAAAAGAAGCTAACGTGAAATCGCGGGCTCGTTGTTTAAATCAAGTGACACCCGATAAGCCCATGAGCTCGCCGACAGGCAAGCCGCTGTCTTCTTCTGGGAGCCATTCATCCATTGCGACATCCGACATCGTGGGTCACAGCACAGCAGCACTCACCGAGCTTAAACAACGTGAGCTGCAGCATCAGACTGTCTCGATTCCGCTTTCACTCACTGTTTGGCGATCCAAAACCCCGTATTTATGAATGCATATGACTCGTCTTCTGCCAGGTATGCTCTGCAACTGCCTTCTCCAGCATCTTGCAGGCCAGCCGTATGCGACAATGATTCCTGGTCCAGGGTCTCACTACTTACTACTTAGGGCTCACTGCTTCCTGGGCAGTATGTCTTACGGTTACATGGGAGCCTTCGGAGCAGTATGTCCTCCGGAGCAGTACATATATACTTGGGCCGATTGAACAATAGATGGGGCTCGTCGGATTATGAGTCTGAGGGGCATTCGAGCTCACATTGCGATGGTTACGGCTGCTCGCCAGGGGCATCCAGTTGAGGTTGAGTGAGCTACAAGCCCACTCGTGCAAACGAATGCGACTCCGCCTTTTGCCCCCAATTCAGGTTCAGGCAATTTGTGATGTGTGAACGGAACATTAAGAAGTCCATGGGAGTCCGCCTTTTGCCCCCAAAAGGCGGACTCCCCCACCAGGATTACACCCCCAGTAGATAGTGACTTTAGACCCCCAAGCATTTAGACCCAAAACCGCAAAATAACTGTAGACCCAACCCGAACCACCTGAAAACCTAATCCAAGAACACAATTCATTCCCCTTAGATCCAAAAGAACCCCCCAAACAGCAAACCCGACAACCTAACAATATCCGAGAGCCCCGAGAACCTAGCTTTGCCCCCCCACCAGAATCACTTTAAACCCGCGAGAACCGCCTAAGAAGAAAACCCGATAACCTAGCAGTACCGGGCTTCCTCAGCAGAATAATAGAAGTAGATACCAAAAGCTCGACACTGCCCGACAACCTAATCCAAGAGACACTTCCTACCTCCGCCAAAGGCGACTTCCAACTGCAAATTCAGGCAACACGAACTGCAGAGCCCGAGCCCCAGACCCGTGCATAACTAGTCGGATATAAAATAACGATTATACTTACTCACTAAGCAAGCATGTCCTGAGACAGTGTGCAAGTAAAGTTTCGGGTGTCCCCTTCAAGTTCTGGGTCTAGTGACTGGAGTTTAGAGTTGGTTGTCGATCGTCGGCTTTACAGATCAAGTATTAGGGTTTGCTGCTGTGGGTTTTGGGTCAGGCTTGCAACGTAGGCCTTAGAGATTAGGCTTCGGGTACGGGCTTCCGGTAGAGACTAGGATGTAAACTTAAGGTTTACTTCTCGGTTCAGGGATTGGGTTTCAGTTTTCGGGATTATTTTTCGGTTGTGAGATTCGACTTTGGGGCTCAGACCTCGGAGATAGTGAGAATCGTTGGCTACGGCGAAAACTTGCCAGGCCTTTTTCTACTTGTGATCCTCGTTCGCTGGCAATGTGTCGGCCTTGCATGTGCCGGCTGAGTTCATCTCTCGAAGCAGCCTAGTGCAGCATCCCCCATATTGTCGTGCTCGAACTACAGACTCGTAGTGCACAAGAGGAAATCTGGACCCGTTGGCATGTGCTTGCACAGGCCAGACCAGCGGCCTGAGCACCGGTCCACGAGTCGGCAGAAGCCTTGGCACAGTAAGCACTCGGGGCACTCGGGCATTGGGGTGCTTTAGTAGGGCATGTGCAGCTGCTTGCCGGTGGAACTTCAATTGTACAATTGATTGTCTCTGATCTCGAAGCTTAGTCATGATTGACAAAAGAGCAAGAATACAGACTTGAGAGTGTTGAAGCTCAGTCTTAGTCGCTGTGGTGCATGGGACCTCATGTATGTCTATTCCATTGTATGTAGAGTCAATTGTATAGAGTCGACTATCCACAAATCTTGTCACAGAGACTCGACAACATGGCATATTCGAGCTGGGGCCGGGAGCCTGATGGCTGGTGGCATAGCTGGTCAGACGGCGGTTGGACAGATGATGCTGGTTGGACAGATGATGCTTGGAAAAACCATGATGCTGAGAAGGACGACACCAAGGCACGACAGCACAGTGACAGCCAGGCATCCAGTAGTGAGGCCCCTGCTGCAGCCTCCAAGCAAGTTCAAGGTGGTCCCGTGCCTGGACCGCCTGGCTCAAGCAAGCACAACACGTGGCTCTCGGACACGGAGTACGAACAGGTCTTCGGATTCAAGAGACACGAGATCAACACACCCCAGAGCAGAGGAAAAAAACACGATTTCGCCCAACTCCAGAGAGTTTGCAGCTACAGAGTCCAGACCGCCGAGAAAGCAGAGAGAGAGGCCATGGACAAGCTCCAGGATGTCCGGGCACAGAAAGCGCAAACCGAGGAAAGGCTGAAAAAGTCTGAGGATTGGAATGCACAGCTGCTCGTGCTGGTGCAATCGAAAAATCAGCTGATCAATGGCTGCTTGATGGTTAACAACGTCGCAGACCAAGGCCTTCAGCGACTGGCCGAAGAGAACACGGTATTGGGCTGGCAGCTCGAAGCCTTGGAGGAGCAGAACGATAGCCTCGAAGACAAATTCGTTCGTTCAATGGAGCTGGTGGAGCATCTGACCGAGAAGAACAAAGAGCTCATGGCTATGGTATCTAGATTGGAGTCGCAGGTCGCCGAGGACTGGTCATGATTCATGTTAGTTCATTTCTTGCAATAAACTATTCAAGCTTCAAGTCCGTCTCATGCAGGATTTGCGAACCAGTGGAGCGAAGAAGCTCAAGACTGGAGAGTCAGAGAAGGACTTCAAAGCATTTAGTCCATGTCTGTATCAGATCCAACATCCTATATTCTTTACCAAAATAGTTGTCAACTGCCCGCAGGAACCCTCAGTGCCCACGACACCGGCTTCCCCGTCTGAGGCTTCGTAGGGTCTTTGAGAGGCGGAATGAGCTGGATGGCAGGGGTCGGTGTGCAACAGTTCGTTGACATAGATCCTAAAAGCTGAATCAAAGTGCAAAGGAGGCACCCGAAGCCATCGGCACTAGCTATGGCCTAAACACGGCATG